GGCCCATTGAGGGGGGCCAATATGCTGAAGTGGCCCTCGGTGAAATTGAGTTTGACACCCCTGTACTAACCAAACAAAATCACCAATGAGACAAAAACACAATAAACCATTGTTTTTAAAACTTGATGCACTTTGAAATTATGCATAACAGTTGACAAGTAAACTTGAGTCACAGGCTTAGTTTCTTCCAACACAACATAAGATTTAAACACTTTGATACAAACAGTTGAACTAAACCAACACAAACAGGAGCGGCCTACCTTCAACCAATGAGGATGTAAATATGTGCAACAGCAGCATATTCTGCCTGTGTTGTTCCTGTCTGGTCATATTTCCCTGACAGCCCACAGATCGCCCTCTCACAGCAGCGGCCTGGAGCGCTCTGAGTCCATGCTGTACGCCGGAAGTTTGGGTCAGCTGAACGGAGGAGGGAACTTCTACCTGCCGGACTACTCCGTGAGGCAGCTCACCCCCCTGCAGGTCATCAAGGTACACGGAGGTCATGTTTTGGGTATTTGTAGAACTTCACTTTCATTATGGTTTTATATTTGGGCGAATCAATCATGAACCGGAAGTGTTTTAGTGGACGTTGATGCATAAACTGTTGTTAGAGCCTATGGTTAGAGCCATCGGTCTGTGTAGCCTTTAAATCGGCACGTCCTATGTTTTCATCTGTAACGGTGGATATGTCGAGAAGATATGTCATTATTTAAAAACCACTTGGGCAACGATTCAGTCCCGCTAGCGGCGAAGTTTATGTGGAGGGCCGCAAAACCCTGCTTTTATTTTGATATTCCACTTCCGCTTATCGGTAAGCTAATTTGCGTATTAGCTAGTTACAAGGTACATGTTAAATATTTATGTTACTTGCAAAATATTTTATCATAATTTTTTTTTAAATGAAATTGAGCTTGGAAAAATAAATATTTAGTTTGAAAATTAAATATTTAGCTTGGACCCAAATACTTATCTACAAGCTATTTAGCTAAATATCTACAAGATAAATATTAAATATTTATGTTACTTGCTAAATATTTAGCTTACTTAACCTTTAGCCCTAAATATTTAGGTCTGAGCTAAATATTGAGTTTGGAAAGTAAATATTTAGTTTGGAAATAAATATTTAGCTAGAAAAATAAAAATTTATTTTGGAACTAGACATTTAGCTTCCCAACTAAATAATTAGTTTGTAAAGAAAATACTTATCTTGTGATTTAAATATGTAGTTTGGAACTGACATTTCTAAATGTAGAAATGGTGAAAATATTATTTAGAAAAATAAACATCCACATTTTTTCTCTATGACAGGCTAAATAAACCAAATTAATGCTGTTAATGTTTTACTGCATAACATTACAAAAGCCACCATGTAGTCTGTCAGCTTTATTAATACCCAGAATCCTCTGCTTCCGTGTATCAGATTACGCGTAGCCACTATCAGAATGCGCTGACAGCCACCAGGATGGACAGCTCCCCTCAAACTCCTGATGCTGACCTCCGCCTGGCAGAGGCCAACACCCCGACCCCTGACCCTTCAGCCACAGGCAACGCTGCTACGCTCATGCCCTTCGAGCCGACCACAGCCACCCTGCTGCCCCCGCCCAGGGAGCCCAGCCGGCCCAGCTCGGCCCGCACCAGAGGACAACAGTCCAGCGTCCCACACAGCACCTCGGTGCTGAATGAGAAGAACCGCATTGTCCGTAAGTATATCTGTGGTGTGCCGATAGTGAGCAGTTCAGACTGGACCCAATAGGAGATTATGTGAATCATTATTAGAGGGAGACAAAGAAGCTGCCTGAAACATCATTTTTAATGCACTACAGGACAATATTTACAGTTCAGTAACCTCAAACACACATTTAAAAGGTCACAACTGAGACCAGATGAGCAGAGGGTGTAAAAGTAAATGTCAGAATATAATTTATGACGTAGAGAAATCCAGGACAAACACCTGCTTGTCAACTGAAAATTGAGTATTATTGAAGTGGCAGATGTGGATTGCAGCTTAGAACTGGGTTGAATACGTGCAAAATTGTACTTAAGTAGGAGTAGCACTACTTCAGCATACTTTTACTCAAGTAAAAGTAAAAAAGTAATCCCTAAAAAGACTACTCAAGTAGTCTGATCATTTTATAACTTAGACGAAAATAAAAATCTAGTTCACAATCAACCAAACAAAATGCCTGTCTGGTAATAATAGAGTTTGTAATTCTTTATATCTTGATTTACGATGATTTACTTATCCCTCTTCTACAAAAGTCTGTTTTGCTTGTTTCTATAAGATTTTTCACATTTTGTTTATAAAATGAAAAGGCACAAGAAATTTATTGGTAAATTTAAAAAAAAAAGGTGGCCAATTCTACCATATGACGCCTTTTCGGTGTGTTCAGTTTGACGATTTCGTCCCTCAGGGCAATAAGTTTGGACTCCTCTGGTTTAGGTTCAGGTCCAGTCCAGATGAGCAAATCACAATGTTTGAACTGTGATGGATACACATTGCTCTTAAATGATGACTCTGTGTGCTACAGGCAGTAAGTCTGACGGTCAGAAGAGTCCCAGTGATTCTGTGTTCCTCAGGATGGATGAGATCCCGTACATCCGAGAGGACCGATCAGAGACCGACACACACTCAGGTTTGTCCGACTCCTCACTGTAACAACCAGCTTGAAGAAACAAATTGTGGATGTTAAATAAGATAGAATGATCTTGTTTTGTGTTTCTGTGGGTTTGTGATTTGACATTTATACCAATACCATTGCCTCGTGAAATGAAAGGTCACCAAACTTCAAACATTCTCCAGGTCTCTGAAGAAGGCACCTTTTACCAAAAATGCATTTTACAGTTTTACTGTTTCTTTAATTTATGATGTGATTAAAGAAACAGCACCTTTGATGCTGATTTACTTACAAGTAGGATTGGACAATAAATCAACAACAATATACATTGCGACAGACAAATGATCTGATCAGTATCCAAAGGTAATCCATCTTATAGAATATTCAATATTCAAAATATTCACTGAACTCTGATCCAAAACCGCACAGCATTCTGGGAGATGTAGGCCCTCAACTTCTCTCAGCCAGCTAAGTAAGGTTGGTGACATTCACTCACTCACTCACTCTTTGGTTACTTAGCAACTAACTCATTCACTTTCTGGTTGCTTAGCAACTCACTCACTTTCTTGTTGCTTAGCAACAGCTTGTTGAGTAACTTGCACAGCAACAGTTTAAGGTTTTGCCAGTGTGCCTGATAACTTCCTAAAAATAAAAAAACTACAGCATGAAGTGGAAACTGTGACACCTGTCTGGTAATATTTCAGATATTTAAAACATAAAATTAATCGATAAGTATTGATATCGACTGATATGAAACGCTTATTTCGTGACAGGTTTCTCAGCCATATTGTCCAGCCCTACTTACAAGTATGTGTTTCTGACGCTGAAGAAAACTTTGGTTCGTCATCTGTTACAATAACACTTCATGGGCATTTTGCATTTCAAAAAGAAGCCAGAATAACCCACAGGATCAACAGTGAAGAGGTTTAAGAATAAAATTTTCGATGTGATTAAAGAAAACACTTAGACGACTCTGGTTGTTATGTAATTCTACCATATGTCGCCTTTTCAGTTAATCCAAAATGTCGCTTTAATGCGTCCTGTCCTGGCAACCAGGATCATTCAGATCTCCGTCTCTTGTTTTTCAGACATGGCCTCGGTTCCCATAGAAACAGACACATCGCCTTTCATCAGCAGCATGTCGCTGAGCGGCTCAGAGGACACGCTGGGCAAGAAACTGCTACTCAAACTTAGTTAGTCTCTCTTTCTCATATATCGCTGTGATGTCACTTCCTGTAATGGTTTAATCAGACACTAACCATCAGAGATGAAGCTGAATCTTAAAAAAGAAGAGCAGATATAACCATGCATGAATGTGCAGTTTGTTCAGATGGTCTGTTTCACTGTTTTGTTCTCTGCTTTGATTCGTATAAAAACCGTATGCACAGAGGCAAACACTCACACGTCCTACTGTCTAAACGTTCATCAGTGCTTTGAACCTGCCTACTTTGTATTCCTCTGTAGTTTCTTCAAATTTCCATTCAGCTTCAGTCTAAAGCCTGGTTAGTTTCCTCTGCAGAGCAAAGAGATGTGTTTTAAAAAACAACCTAAACAGAATGTGGATTTCTGACGAGATATTTTATGTTGGAGAGCCAACCAAATAACTGCTCTCATTTACAGTGAAACAAGACAGTAAGACAATTATTAAATAAAGGTTGCAGAGTGAGGGTATGGAACGATGTAAAGGCTTCACTAACCAAGAACTGAAAGTATTATTTATATAACAACTTTTATTTTAAACTTCATCTGAAACTTGTCTACAAAAACAATGTTGTCTTTTATTGCCTTATATTTGAATAACGCTGAAATTCTTCATCTTTTTACAGTTTTGACTGGGGGAAACGGTCAAATAAGTAGACAGTGAAAACTGGAGATATCACATGGGTATCACATATTTACTAATAATTTAACATACCCTTCCGAAAAAGTGTGAAACCCATGTGAAAACATGCAAATCTCATGGGTTTTTACCATGAAAGATTCCAAATCCACACATGAATTTGTGTGAACCACATGTGCATCTGTTGCTCTTATTAAAATAGCAACATTTCATGACCCATTGTGTCCAGTGCAGCAGATACATCTAAAAGCAGAAGACAGCATCAGAGTCTAAATGACTATATGCTGTACATCTGTCCAGAAGAGGGCAAAGTTCACAAAAATTATACTTAAGTAAGAGCAGTATTACTTCAACATATTGTTACTCAAGTAAAAGTAAAAACATATTTGGTAAAAAATCTACTCAATTATCAATCATCTAATGTTACATCATCAGATGGACCAAAATGTAAGGTTAAGTAGAAATGTTGGTATTTAAGGGAGATAATGACAATAATTCATATAAGTAGCAAAAAATAACAAAATCTCAGAAAACTAAATTTTTACAAATCAGTTTCTTTCAATATAAAACTTCAGAAACTAACTGCAGGTCTGGTGAATTTTTGTTTGTTTTTCACTCAGTGGGTAGAAAATCCAGAAATTTTACTCAACAGTAGAAATACTTCATTGTAAAATTACTGAAGTAAAAGTAAAAAGTACAGTGCAGTATAAATACTACTAAAAGTATTTTTTCCTCAATAAAGTTAACCAAGTAAACATAATAGAGTAAATGTAATTTTTTACTATCCAACTCTGTGTACATCCTACTGCTTTCTAAGCCGTGAAAAGAAATACCGTCACCATGGAGCCAAGGGGGAAAGTGGAGCCAGAAAAGAAGTGGGTCAAACTTTGAGCCCTGTGGGACTCCCACATTACAGAGGAGCGGCGCAAGACCAGGCTGAAGCAGAAAGTTTGCTGCTTCTAATGAGATTAAACAACAGAAACAATGTGATCAGAATCAGTAGCGACAAATATTATGATAAAAACACCCAAAGGAAATAATGGTTGATGTTTTCTAACATTAATTAAAAAAAATGCTACATCTCTTTTAACTCTTTGCAGGCCCAAAAATCAACAAATAGATCTAAATTACTGAATTAAATTAGAAAATTTTAGTGTTATTACATATTAGTCATTTCCTGAACTTTAATTTTACAATAGGTTTAATCAAATTGAACTCAGTTATACATAAAAAGAATATATGCATTTTTTTAAATTTATTTTTCTTCTCCTCTCAGGTCACAAGAAACGGAAAAAGTCCCGTGAAGGAGACAAAACCCCAGAGGACATTTCAGAGCAGCCGCTGGTGAAAACCTAGCAGTGACTGAAACAGAGCAGAAGACGCCATCATCTGATGGCTTCATAAAGACTACAACTATCAGAGTTTTATCTGAAAACTGTGCACTGACGGTGACCTTAAACGAAACCGACCGGAGTTTGCTGGTCAATTAGATCATTTTTTGACTTCAGGTTGTGAATTAGAAATAAACTATAGCCTCTCACCTTTACCACTCCACATTTTTCACACACAGCTGACATGCGGTGGATATTTCTAATATTTCTATTGACATGAAAGTCACAACAGAGGACGGTAACAACACAAATCATCCACATATACAAAGGGATCAGAGGCTGCGTTCACACTGCAGCCTGGAAGTGACCCAATTCCGATTTGGGATTATTTTCATAAGCCTGAACAACACAGGACGGATTCAACCCGGGCCATTTGGATATCTGATACATATCCGATCTTTTCAAATAAATCTGAACGTCCAGGTCGCATTCATCCAACCTGAACGAAAAACAACAAACATGGCGGACTATAATGAAGGTTAAGCTGTTAATGTGCTGGCTCCAGTCGGACAACAACTTCAAAATCTTGAGATTTGCTCCTCCGTTAGCATCCATGTTTACTTCAACAAACACTGAGCACTTCTTCTTCTTCTTCTTCTTTATGGCGGTTGGCAAAACACTGATCTCGCTCTCTGTGTGACGTTTTTGCGCCCTCTACTGCGCTTTTCTACTTTTCATTCTGTTGGCTGAGACGGTTGCCAGATGGTTGCTCTCTCAAGACGGTTGTATTGAGAGACGGTTGTCTTGAGAGAGCAGAAAATGATTTGCGAGCAGGCAGAGATTTGATCCGAGCAGAGACAAGTTTTGAGTGAGAGGAGAAAGGTTAGAGAGAACGCAGTGAATATTTGAAAGAGCAGAAGTTTTGAGAGATGAAGTTTGTTTTCAGACTGGAAATGTTTGCTCTCGACTTAAGGCAGTAAAATTCACTCATAAAATGTTTTTATTAAAGCCATAGAGATACTAGGAGAGTTTAGTCTAGTTATAGTAAATAATGATATCTGCACATCACTCCAAACACATCATGCTAACAGGAAAGTATGTCTTCAGTAGTTTATTACTGTATCATTTAATTCTCTGCCCATAGCTTCATTATTTGAGTAATTTGTTTTGGTTAAATTTCATGTACGGGTTGCTTTAGTTGTCGACATTTTGGTGTACATTTCATGTCAATGGAAGTATTTGGAACATATTTGCAGAGAAAAAATGTTGAATACCTATTTTAAGTATTTATGAAGGACTAACTGAATGTAAAAAAATATGTATAACTGAGTTTTCATGAACTTCCTGGGTGGAGATAACAGGAATGTTGGTTCAGAGGAAACACACCAAAGACTCCAAACATGTTGCTGTTTGGTACCTGCAGCTCCATTAGACGTTCAACAAAACACAACTGCTCACTTTGATTTGATGTTTCCTAGCTCAGGCTTCGCTTCATTAATTGTCTTCACACATTAGTACCACATAATGTAATCTGTAAATATGTTTTCTCCTGTCTGTCAAGAACATTTCTGTTTATATTGAATGGTATGGAAACTTAACATGGAGCTAAATTGGGACCATAAAGTTTGTTCAAAATAATAAAACATGAAAGGGAAAAAAGGAAACTGAAAGGAATCCTTGAATCAGAAAAGTAGCTCTGAACATTTTTCTGTTTCACTTCATTTTTTTTCTGTTTCAAACTTTTTTGTTCAAAACTTTTTCAGTTTCAAAATAATTTTTCAAATACTTTTCTATTTCAAATCTTTTTTTTCAAATTCAAAACTTTTTTTTCAGCTTAAATATTTTTGTTTCAAATCTTTTTCTCCTGCTTCAAAATAATTTCTCAGTTTAAAAACTTTTGTTTCAGTTTCAATTTTTCTTTTAAAAACTTTATGGTCCTGATTTTGCTCCGCTATTTTTTCATTTTACAGTTTTTTTCTTTCAGTTTCAATTTTCTTATTCAAATATTTTTTTCAGTTTCAAACTTTTTTTATTCAAAACGTTTTTTCAGTTTTCTTTCAGATTTTTTTCTATTTCAAATCTTTTTTTTCAATTTCAAAACTTTTATTTCAGCTTAAATATTTTTGTTTCAAATCTTTTTTGTTTCAGTTTCATTTTTTCTTTTAAAAACTTAATGGTCCTGATTTAGCTCCACAGTGGAAAATCTCGGTATGTTCATTGTTTTTCCCTTTGTTTAAATGTTTTTATCAATCCACCTTTATGTTCTTTCAGCTTGACGTTCTCTCTGATTTCAGGATCAACCAGTTGCCTGCAGATCCATTAAACAAAGAGCTGAATGTTTCAGAAACGTTTCAGAAGGAGCTTCATTGACTGGGTTTCCATGGTTGCAGTGACGTAAAGCTCCGGTTTGTCCTGCTGGAAAGTAGTTTCACTGGTTTGTTTTGACTCTTCCAGTGTGAGTGAAATTCTGATGTTTTTAAGCTTTACATCATTTTACACAAACCTGGAAAGTTACCTTGATTCTTTCACGCATGTTTGAGAAATCCTTTAATCGCCATGGCAACCATCCAGCTGTGCAAAATGCCTGGGTGGACTTAGCCCCGCCTTCAAGGTGTTGCTCCTCCTACAAACTGCAATTTCCAAGCTTCTGAGCTTCACCACGACTCCCCCAATTCAGCTCCTTCAGACTAGTCAGTAGCTATTAGCAAATGCTAATTTGAGCATCTTCTGAGCTCATTATATGAGCTACTTCTCAGTGAAACATTGGTAAAAACTTTAAGTGATTAATAGAGGTGTGTCTTTGTGATGATAACTTGAAGGTGGAGTTTTAGAAAGAGCAGGAGTTTTTAGAGACAGCGCTTCTGTGTCCGACTCTTTATTGAGCAGAAATGCTTTTATCAGAATGATATGAGACATGAGCTCAGACAAATTAAAGATATTAGGTATGAGGGTTTTTTTCTTTAGAGTGGATTTATTCAGCTAATGTTTTCTATGCACTGAACCTCTTTAAGCTCCCACCACTGGAGCTGAGCCTTTTAATTATGATTTTAACCCATTATCTCTGCATACATTACAGGAGGTGAGCTGGACAAGTTTCTGGCTGTCATCATTCTCTCACAATCTCTTTTCTTCTTGTTGGATCTAAATCTGGAAGCTTCATGTTGTATAAAATTGTGTATATTAAGTCAGGAAGTTGAAACAGTAAAGTTTCAACTAAGTGAATTTCACATTAGACAGCTCTGGAACACATTAAGAGCCCACTGCACTGAACCGCATTGAAAACCTGGTTTTTCCACCAAACACTGATTCCTGAACTCTTCCTGAGTTAAAACATTAGTGTTGTTGTTTCTAAATGAATATGAACTTGTTTTCTATGCATTATTTCAG